AAAAAAAAAAAAACTATTATTCTAATATGAAGAGAGTAATATTTAAGTAATGAAACTTATTGATTTTTTATTATTATAAAAAAATTGTATAATTTCCTTTTAGGATTTAAAGTTGTTGAGATTAGAAATAAAATTGAATATTATGGTAATATTGAAGTTATATGGAATAGAATTGGATTGGAGTAAAAAAATTTTAAAAAAATAAAAAAAGTACAAATCCATAAAATGGTCCAATAAAAGGAAAAACCTTGGATATAATCATATAGAGAAAAACAATAAAAACATAAATTAGTATAAAATGAAAATAAACTCGTATAAAGTGTAATTAACATGTAAAAAGGAAAAAAAAAAATTTGCTTGTAGAAAGTGGTAGGGTGAAGAGATAGAGACAAAAAAGTTAAAGGCCTATATGTTTATATTGAAAACGAGATTTCGTAACTAAATTAAGGACGAATCCCTTTCAAACTCTTCAATTGTTTATATTGAAAAAGAAATAATTTAGTTATTTAGTGTAGATTATATTATAAATAGATTTCGTGATATGAAGATTCGTCAAATATTATTTTAACTTATAATATAAAAATAAAATTTTAAAATTATAATATATTATTTTAAAACTTGAAAACCCAACCCTTAACTAAAATTTTTTTCTCCGCTCCTGATTAATGATTTTATCTATACCTTAAACCTCGAGGACTAGTGTCCTCCTCTCCCCTCATCCTCATTTCTTCCATTTTCCGTTTAGCTGCTTCCCCTGCTTTTTCCAACTTCTCCTACAAAATATTCGATTTTCCCTTTTTTATATGTATGCATTTGAAATTTAATGCAATGGATGTAACTATGTGAGGTAATTAACAACCTTTGTGGCTTTGCCGGTCTCTGCTGTCTTCTGCTTTGCTTCCTCTTTCTTTCCGGAGAAGAAATCCTTAGCCTTGCTAGCAGCATCAGCAGTAGAGTCTTTCAACTCTCCGAACTTACCAGCAGCATTATCCTTCCCTTCCCTTGCTTTCTCCGCCGTGTAATCCTTATACTCCTCAGCCTTCCCCACGGTAGCATCGTTCGCCTCCTTAGATTTCTCTGCTGCATGGTCCTTATACTCCCCTGCCTTCTGCATCGTGGTATCCTCCGCCTCCTTAGCCTTCTCCGCAGTCTAGTACTTCGCCTGTCTCGCCTTTTCTGCAGCATAGTCTCCATACTCTTAGCCTTTCCCGCTGCAGCATCTTTTGTCTCCTTGGCCTTCTAAGCCCCTTGATTTGCATACTCTTTGGTTTTCTGAGTGGCAGAGTCAGCATACTCCTTGGCCTTTCCCGCGGTGGTATCTTTCGTCTCCTTAGCCTTCTCGGAAGCCTGGTTTGCCTTCTTAGCGATGTACTCTTTAGTCTCCTTTGCCTTTTGAGCTGCATAGTCACCATACTCCTCCATCTTCCGCCCTGCTGTATCAGAAGTCTACCGCGCTTTCTCTTTGGCATAGTCGGTGTATTCCTTAGCCTTTTCAGCCGTTGCATCTTTAGTCTCCCTCGTAGCATCCACTGTGTCATGGCTTTTTCCGACAACAGCTTGCTTAGCATGCTCGTATGTGCCCTGAACAGCCCTCAACGCAGACCCAATAACACCCGGTATCTCTTCTTGTTGCAGATGGGCATCCATTTGCTCCTTATAGACGGTTGTGCCTCCATATTCTCTCTCCCTATTGACATCTCTAAGTTCCTCCAACGCTAGCCTCGCGGCGGCCTCCGCCCTTTCTTCCTTCGCTTCCCTAGACGCCATGGACATTCTCTGATTTTCACACTCAAAAACTGAAACTCATTTCCTGATTTTTCTTCTGGTTTATCTCTTTAGACGGTTTTATAGTTCTGAGATTAAACAAGTTGATGGTCACATGCATCCTGTATGGAAGCCGTTTCAATCTTCTGAAATTGACACGTGTATGTTAAGTCTTCTAGTAGCTGCCACGTAGTGTCAGGTCATCGAATACAAACACGTGGCAGTCATGCTCAATATGGTGTGCGTATGAAAGTTCCATACGAGGACTGGTAAAAGAAGTTTCGGGACTATTGTGCGACCGATGGCCAACTTGGTTAAACGTCTTGCTTCCACGTGTGCACTAGCTACCACATGGTGGACTATCTAATCGCTTCGATCCATGTGGACGTTTACTAATTTTGAGACAAAAGTCAACAAAAACTGGAAATTTATCCAAAAAATAAAAATTGAATTACTTGGAGGGAAAAATTTTATATTGAGAATTTAATAAGTAAACATATAAATATAAATAGGGTTATTTTGTTTATTATTAATTAGTATTAGTTAGATGCAAGTTATATATTTAAATCTATGTCTATAATTGTGACATAATAATAAGTTTAAATCAGATGTGGTAAAATCTTAATTATATAAAAAATATAACATGTTAATTAGTTTTTAATTAGATGTAAATGAAGTTTACATGTTAATTTCTACATTAAAAATAATTTGTTAGACAATTTTAAAAATATATCTAAAATAAAATATTTCTAAATTAATTTTTATGGGTATCAAAACTAATCATTTCTCCATCAATTATAAGGGAGCACTGATGCTCATACATTTGCTTGCTTATATAAAAAAATTAATTTCTTTGTTAATAAAACTAAAATTTAAACTTAAACTTAATTTATAAAATCATATTTATTTATTAATATGTGTAATTAACAATTATAAAATATATATAACCGAATAGATAAATTTTAAGATTGAAATTTATTGAGGGACTATTCTTATGCAATAATAATTATCCTCCCTTTTTTTAAACTCTTTCACTTATTCTAAGATTTAAAATTGAAATCGTAGGATGTCCACTGAGGGAGCTCACAACATTGTTTCACAATTTCAAGCTTACAACATTGTTTCACAATTTCATGTCGAAGGTGGTGCACGTTAACACATCAAACCGTTACCAATACTTGATTCATCAATTGGTCACAGCATCAAGATCCTTAACGATTCTGGTGTTGAGTCTTCTGAGCCAAATGGAGTGAAGTATCATATGAAACAAATCGAACCGTTTGGGAGGAGTATTTGCCTGAAAATGCCTTCTCAACTGAACCCCTCTCCTGTGCATTCTTATATACTGACTATCCGAAATACCCAACAGTATTTTCTTCAGATTGGGCATGTCTTCCAGGGAAACAGTAACTGCAAACATCTTCCAATTCAGAACATCACTGAACGGCGGCACGTAACCCTTCGAGATCAGCACCGGCACGCAGCCATTGTACAGTGACTCAACAATTCTGGGACTGCCAACCTCGTACCCGCTTGGGCAAAGACAGAACTTGCTGTTCCTCATTAGCTTTTGGTAAGAAACGCCCTTGGGTAGATAGTTATGAATCTGAATATCTGGGTCCTTGTTCTCCCACTGCTTGAACACCAATGGCCTTACAGGGCCGTGGTTTCCTCCAGCGAAGAAGGCTAAGATTCTGCGTTGCGACGGGGATGGCCCCCCAACAACGCTACCCGGCTCGCTTCTGCCAGGCATGAGATTGAGTTCTGGGATGGATACGTCCTTCACGGGGTTGAATCGTTCGGAGGTGTTTGCATTGCACAGGGCACGAATTGAGTTTTCACCCAAGAGTGGACTATAAAAACTAGTGATTGGCGCCTGAAACAAATTCACAAACACCTAATAAGCATACAACCATGTACCCCAAGGAGTGGCATAACGGCTTAGAACTTGATATTTCAAGTTGTAGAACTTAGCTTTTTTATCTTTTTTTAAGTAGAGAGGGATTTGAGAATAAAAAAAAATTATTCTTTTTTGTATAGCCTTTAATTAGATGTAAAAAAAAAAAAAAAAGAGCATACAATCATGTAATATAGTCACATGATCCGATGGAAGAGTTGATTGGCTACAAGTTTAAGATTCAATCTTTAGTTTTATTTAAAAAAAAAAAAAGAGGCATACAATTTGGTCCTCCTGGTGGAGATATATAAATGTGGTGTCTGAAACATACCCAGTCATGGCAAGAGAGCATGAAATGGTCGGTGCCAAGACTCCTGTTGAAGTAGTGGTGTTTTCTGGCAATAACATTGACATAGTCTTGAACTAGGTTCCCTATGCCATCAAAATGTTTTCCAGGTGCCCGTACATACTGTCTCATCCTCGTTATGCTGTAGGGAAGGAAGAATACATGAGCTTTTTCAGGATCTTGGGTTTGGAAATGGATGTCCATCTGCATTTTGTGGATGAAAATTCCTTCAGTGGTGTACAGATTATAGCATGGACCGTCGTGGAACAATGGGGGATCCCCTTCTTTGTATACAAAGATCTTAAACCGTTTTTCCATCTCCAGATAGCTCCTGTGTATATATTCCATTTCAAAGAAAGAAATTAAACAATATGAGAATGGAAATTAGAGATTGATGCATATGTTCTATAGCCAAAT